CAGGCGGATTGAAATAAAGCGTATATATATATATATAATAGATATATATATATATTATATTATATATATATATATATTGTAGATAGATAACACAAGACATCACTTTTTGCTGTTACTCAGAGTTCTCACGCATTGCGCGATATCAGACAAACTTTAATGATATTATTCATTAAAGTTGTCTGAGGTGATTCTCGCCAAGCGTGAAACTTCTGAGTAACAGCAAAAGTGATGTCTTGTAGTTTAATCTATCCGACAACTTATATTACGCTCTGCCAATTAAATGCATTGAGCACTCTTACAGCCAGTGTAGACCAAAGCCATACAGATGTATATATATATATTATATATATATCAGTAACGCAGAATTAAAAAAAACGCACACGTAATATATGTCCTATCTCGCATATAATATATATATATATAAATAAAATAATATATATATAGATATATATAGTACAGATGTATACGCCCATAACCTGTATGGTAATACGCATCTAATACATGATACTACACAATATACAATAATGATGAATTTGATACATGTACATTGGTTCTACTCACCGTACTGTCGAGATGCTTCTGGGATAGCAGGTCTAGGAATGAGAAGTGATGCTTGTCTCATGCGCCACATGATCCTTATATACAAATCCTGCTGCATGTCAACCGACACAGATCGTGAGGAAACCTTGAACCATCGCGATTGTCATTGTCTCGCTTAATTGTACACCATGTGCGAATGCGAAATTACTTTACTGTTATATCTATCGGAGTGGTCGTTGGGAATTCAAACGTCAGCAGACATTGCTTGAGGGCACGTCTATGGCACTTACTTGGACAGGTAACAGATATTTTAACGAGGGATAGGTTACCTGCTAGTGGGTCTATTGTGTATGAACATCAACGCTGTTGTTGTCCATCATTGGTCACCGGGATGTAACACTTTCACTAGAAATGCATCTATGCATGTCCACCCGCCAGTTGGTGTTGCGTGAAGGTGAAACATTGCGATGTACAATTTTCATATAAAAACACTCGCGTCTATGTGAGTTCGGATATAAATGTGTAATTACAACAAATTTTTCCGGTCGGGAAATGAATGTGCGCGAACACAGATCATATGCTATTTCGCACTATAGAAATATTCGGGAAGACTGGGCGTTTTATGATTATTAAAGTGAAACATTGGGAATATACATTTTTCATACACATACATATACATATACAATATCAAATCACTCGCGGTTTTTTTTTCTCCACTTTAAATGTATGATTTAACCAAAATGCATTTTTATGTGCAAATAAAATTGCATGTCGGCGATTACTGGACATAAGCGCACACATGCAGGTCATACTCACGGCTTAAAGAAATTACGCGCATATAGAACAAGATTAGGCTGAAGGGATAGCAATATTAATGAAATATTATCTCATATTTATCATACATTAGAATGATTGTTTTCATATTTTTCTTGGGCACGATTTGTTGCCTATTTGTCTCCAAAATTCAAAGGGGGCAGTTGGCCTCTTGTCCGTTCCCCAGAGGTTTCGACACCATCATTGGTATGTGCTGCGAGCATTCCGCATGTTATTTGCTATTGATGGACCCTACCTAGAGTGTGGCCTAGTTGGGTTTATGCATGGAGGGACAGCACGACTGACTGACCAGCCGTCACTTACAGCTATTGTTGCAGTCGTGTTGCATGTGAAAGTCCATGTGATTGTTATGCGTTGCGCAGTAACACTTTCCAGAAAGTCAGCGTCATTATGAAAGCTGTGATGTCTATCCTTGAATTACATTTCGCGTTTATGTACGCAACAACAAGTTGACAGGCAACTGAAAGTGTAAGTTCAAGTTGCATTAATATGGGTTATACTGCCTGCGATGCTTGTTGTTACTTCACGCAGCACGATTTAATATAGACTCAAAACACACAAATCAACGAGCGCACGCACACGCCGCTGCACAAAACCGACACGTAAGAACGGCCAACACCACAACAGACAGCTGAGGACTGCCCGCCCTGGCCGACGCCGACCCCAGCACCAAATCACACACGCGCCGCGCGCGCGACACCCACCCACAACACCAAACGTCACTCGTCGCGCGCCACTCACACGCCGCGCTGCCGCGCCCCTCACACACCATGCACTGCAACGGCCGCGCGCGCCCACCCATCACCACACCATTCACGCTGACGCACGCACGCACAGCACACCCACACCCGACAAACAGCAGCTCGCCGCTAAAGCGGCGCCGCCCACACCACCACACAACTTACAACACAAAATGTNCCAAGGAACTATATTGAAGATGGAGAAAGACACATTAAAGTTGATCAAATAGACAGGTCAACACTGCGGCTCGCAATAGAAAAAAACTTCAAGTTTGCAATTAACCAAAAAGGAAGGGCGAGAATTCCATTATGGAATGACAGAAACGTAGCAGTTAAAGTTAAAGAGATCTTTTGAAGATGGCACATGCTGTATAATTCAGATATAT